AGTAGCTATCACATCGTCTACCACTTGTGGTAATATTATTAGAAATATGGTTAAGTTTAACGTGCGTACCACCGGTGGTACACATGGCACGGAACGTGTTAAATAAATTGCTGGTAAATGACGAACGAAACAACGTTTACAGGCCAAGGGTTAATTTTTAAACGCGGATTAATTCCTGCATTTTATTATTCAGCGGATTGTATGAAAACCACAGCCGCAATAGCTTCAGTGTACCCCTATCTACTATTCAATAGCCGCGTTGCAGGAATTCAACTCGCGTTACACTGGGAGTCCACTCGGTCTATTCGAGATCGAGAGTCGTACGGGGAAACGAGCTACCTCGATTTGTTCTTCAGTGGAGAAACAAGATTGGCCGAATGAAAGGAAGACGTTGAAGGGGAGTGAGTATTAAAGCGGGGACAGTCTGGTCCGAAAATTCGGTCGCCGAGTATTCCGCATCCACGGTGACCCATTTCGTTGACTCGTCCTTTCATACGCGATACACCGAACATGCAACTACCGAACACGTACATTTACAGGCTACAGAGGGATATTAGACCGGCCCGGTGATATAATCCTTTTTCATGCACCGGTTGCGTCCCCTTTCATCGGTTTTCCAACGGAATTCCCGAGGGACCCTGACTCAGGGTGTCCCCCACCCTTGATAACTCGCCACACTCCGCAACACACACACTCCAGATACGCTGACTACGCGGCGTATTTCCCTCGATTTTCCATCAAGGATACTTTCCATTCTCGGATTTTCAATATCCGAAGAATCCTTCTGAAAACGCGGACCGGAGTCGAATACAGAGTCGCCCCCTCCCTTATTGTCGGCCATTCTCCTACGAGCGAAACGTACGTAGCGAAAGGTAGGTACACGAATTCTGGCACACCGGAACCAACCAACCGGCGTTCGGGCCCAGGAAGATCCCGGAGTAGACGTGTAATATCGGCCAAGAGATCGGAATTTCCGCTCTCGTACAAAGCACGCAACTCTTTCCTTTATGAAATAATGGAATCTCGGGAAGCTGCCCTTTGACGTATCACGATGGCTTGCGGAAGTATTCCAACAATCGCAGATATTCTTCTCGTGATTTTTTTGTTGTTGCACGTGTCGTATGGAACATTCTGTTCATTTCGAGCGTCGTTGCGAGACTTTATATTGC